CATCCAACCAAAGGTGATATATATGTATATTCCAGTGTTGCCCAAATCAGAAAATTAACACCAGTTGTTGGCTTCCAATATTTAATATGTGGCAATAGGTAAGCTTGATGATATAGCTTTGGATTCCAAAAACCGAATCTCCCTCATTGATTGGTAATTGCATTTCCTGTAAAGATATTCTCAGAATCGAAGATCCCAATAAAAATTTTCTGAACAAAGAATTTATTTTCTAAAAATATTTTCCAGATATTTGAACAGGAATTCCTCTCAGAATATAAACTAATCTGGGAATAATTTATATTCATTTTGAGAGCATTCACCTTTCCCCAAAGGGTGAGGTTTAATGACCTCCATATCCATATCTAAAGAAACCTCTTTACATATATTATTTATATTAGATGTTACTGAGTTATATCTTTTGGTATGTGCATACTCAAATATTTAATAAATTCAGTAAAAATACAAAATTGATATTTCTTAAATGGATGGGTAACTAAATTTTCACCATTCCTTTCTTTATTGTTAAAGATGTTTAAGTTTGTGTCATTTCTTTTGTCTTCTATAATGTTTTCTATTATAAGCTTGGCAAAGAATAGAGATTTAAAAAAAATGAATTTCAGAATATCCATCCACAAATTGTTTATGCAGTTACAGTAGCATTAGATTTTTGAGGAAAAAATATTGATGTGCTGGAACCAAACAGTTTGAATAATACCAGTCCTAGACTAAAAGGCAACAACTGTATTGGCAATATGTGGGACTAAGCCAGACTTGTCCACTCTGGATGGTAGTAAGTCTGAAGGCCACAGCATCTTTCATGTCACATCTGAGGCTAGCTGCTACCTCAAGATACCAAGAACTGGACCTAGGAATTGCTATGTAAAACTTGCATTCCACCACTGATTTACAATGAACTAAAATTCCTTGTTGGCTTGGAATTCTGGTAGTTGCATTCTAAAATAACCGAAGGGTACCAGGTTGAGATAGCTCTTTAAAGTAATCCAGATTCAGAGTTACTGATGGATGAAAGCCTCCCCTAGTTTTTAAATCAACATTAATCCAGTGTGTTCAGCTTGATTTTACAATTCATTCACATTTATCTACAAAAACAAATTTTATTTTCCTGCATGAGGAGCAAACTCTAAGCTCTTTGTTTAGATTTGCAGATATTAAACTCAGATGTACATTAAGTTACAAAAAAAATAGTTGACTGTAATTGAATAAAACAAATAAACTAGACTGGTACTGTTCAATTGTAGATCTGAGAGTACTAGAATAATTTATTACGTTCCACTGAACCTCCAAAATCAATTTGTTTACTTTTGACGATGGCTGTGGCTATTTTCAATGCTTGCTGTGAAATGTCATTCAGAAGCATGCACTGTTGCAAAGAGATACCACATTGTTTTCATTATTAAGATGGTAGGGCTCTAGCTCAGTGATGAAGGACCAGTTCTGCATGCAGAAGTTCCCTGGTTCAATCCCAGACTTCTTTTGGTAGGCTTGGAGAACTCCAGTCTGAAACTCTGGAGAAGCACTGGCTATTTCCATCACCAACACTAAGCCAGATGGACCAAGAATCTGACTTGGTATAAGGCAGCTTCTGCACTGAATGGTTTGGCCTTAGCATGGTAACACATTTAGCCTGCCTATCTTTTGGGAAACAGTGCAAAAATAAGTGACTACAACCCTGCTGGACAATCCTAAATTGCTTGGGGTTCATAAGACTCTGTGACTTAAATCCACACCCTTGATTATGAATGAGCCTGCAGATATGCAAAGAGTCAAAGTGATCCTTCAGTGAATTTAGCCAAATTTGGAAGCTCAGTAAGACTAAACAGTTTCAGAGACCTCAACGCTCATACACTGTAGTTCCCTTCCACAGACAATTTATACATACTTGGGGCAAGGGGTGCGGGGTGGGGACCAAATGAGATGTTACCTGACTTCCTTGGATGCCAGTTCCAGGTGGTCCCATCAGGCCCTGAAGCCCTTCCATTCCTCGTTCACCCTACATGAAAAATGCTTCCATAAATTATTGGTTTAATTAAAGTGTCATCATCACAATTCTAGGTTCAAACATGAGAGCCTTATCTGCATTCTGACTGCATAGTAGTTTACAAAGTATTCAAAAGGAACATGACCGGGGAGTAAAATAATGAGACAGAGAACAGTTGGGAAAATAATGAGACTACGTCACAAGGCAATGATATAACCAATATCTCATGTTCACTAATGCTGTATCATCCACGGGAGAGGGTAAAAAAAATTCAGATGACAGTTGTGGCAGCATGATCAAAAACCTTGCCCCTTTGTATGTGCATGCAACATTGTATGTTGCACATACAAAAGTGACAGAGTGTCAGTCACACTGCTGAGACCACCAACTTCGCCTTTTTGACACCCTTGTAGATGCCTCTGCATTAGCAATGCCATCTCTAAGCCAGCTCACAGCTTAAGAACCTTCTCTCTATTCTTTGTTTTGAATTTATTTTTATCCTTCATTCTTTGGGGGCATTTTTCAGGTGGTAGCTTCAGTGCTGATAGTTCAGCAATATTGCATTGTGTTTATACTAGTGGTTCCCAACCTTTTCTATGCCCCACACCCCTAGGAAATGTTTGATTAATGTTTACAGCCCCTACAAAAGTAATATCACATTTGAAGATGAAGAAGTCTAATTTCTAATGAACAAATTGAACTTTAAAAAAAATAAGCTTTTAACTCAGTGCATAAAATCGTCGCACCCTTGAAATTCCATCTCGCACCCCCTGGGGGTGCGGGCACCCCAGGTTGGGAACCCCTGGTTTATACAGTCTGTTCTATATGGTACCTTATCTCCTTTGATGGATAAGCCTGGAGCTCCAACCGGTCCAGCTGGTCCTTCAGAACCTTTGTCTCCCTGGAAAGATTTGTTAAGTTTTTATGAGTTCACTTAGGACTGTGCCTAATATTTACCACAGAAACACATTTTATTAGAATTACTTATGGACAGCCAGGCAGGCAAGAACCAGTTCTTTAATCTAAGGTTTATTTCTTATCAATGTAGATTCAAAGCACAACATAATAATGTAGCATTATTATCAACCACTCTGTGTACATCCGTTCAATGGCTTTTGCAAAAAGGCAGTAAAAGATTAACCCATTTCCCATAATTCTCCCATCTCTCAGTCCTGCTCATGTTCCATATTTACTTCCATGTTGCTTAAATTACTCCATTCTGCTTCTAATAAAAACAGGCAGAGAATGAGGAATAAAGGTGCCTTACATTTGCATTCTAACTGGCAAAAAAGAATTGTTAAGGACTCCGTCAAGCCTTCTTGAAACAAGGTTTCTTCATGTAGTAGAAGATTTTTAAAAGAAATAGATGTTGTGACTCTTTCATTTGTCTAATTCAGTGTTTCTCAACCTCAGCGACTTTAAGATGTGTGGACTTCAGCTCTCA